GCCATGATCACTAGGCCATTGAGTTCCGCGAGCAGTGTTTGACACAGCGGTTAGAAGTAGATTTTCGGGTTTTTTGGAGTACCCGCCGTGTGTCTTGGATTGCGACACGCAATCTCATTAATGGCGGCGGTTGACGTTGAAATCGGCCTCTGCGAATACGGTCACTGGGAGCATCAACGGTGTGGAGGGTTTCGGTGTGGCTTTCTCTCACCCCTGCACTCCACGACCGACGGTTTCGTCTTGGTTTAGACTCGTTAGGTAGAGATAGTCAAGTCAGATCAGCATAAACTTTACGCACCTACGTGGGTGAAGTTTCAGCGTAGTTACTGTAGTTACTAAACGGGCAACCTCAAAAATGCTGTTTACAAATGGGTGGAAAAATGCGAAGGGTGCAATCACAACTAGATCAATCAACAGTCGCATAACGCCTCACTATATTTTCGGGAGTTGGGTCCATTCAAAAGGGCAAAGTTACATTAAAACATTTATTTATAACTCCTTACAGTTGATGTAAAATTTTGTGTACAAGGATTCTCGTGCGCGTATCTCAGCGGTTATATTCAAAAGGTGGATTGTGTAGATTGGTCTCAGGGATCTTGGAGGTTGATCTAAGAAAATATTTGTAAAAGTGACGTATCTAAAGTAGATGAAGCAAAATATGATGTTTGGCGAAAAAGTTCAAGGCCCCGTCAATTACCAAGATAGCCTGATCCGGGAGTGGAACTCGACCCATAGTGGGTGGCCGCTATCCCCTTGATCACTAGGCTATTGAGCTCAGCGAGCAGCGCTTGAGATAAAGGTTAGAAGCCGAAAAATGAATGTTGAATTACCAGTCGTGTGTCTTGGATTGCGACACGCAATCTCTACTGTGGCCTCGGTTGGCTTTAAAGTCGAGCGCTGCTCGCGTAGCTCCGTGGCTTAATGATCATAACAATAGCCGCCTAGCACTATGCGTCGATTTTCATTCCCAGCTCGGCTGTCTCTACCTGATGAGTCCTAACCGGGAAGAAACCATCGGTCGTAGAGTGCAGGGATGGGGCAGAATCACACCGAAACCATCCACTTCGTTTTTACGGTCGCAGTGACCGTATTGGCACAGACTGACTTCAAAGTCAACCGAGGCCACGATGGAGGTTGCGTGTCGCAATCCAATACACACGGCGGGTACCACAATTCCCGAAAATCAACTTCTAACCGCTGTGTTAAGCACTACTCGCGGATTTCAATGACCTAGCCGCCAAGCACTATGCGCCGACTTCCATTCCCAGCTCTGCTATGTATACCTGACGAGTCCAAACCAGGAACAAACCGTCGACCGTGGAGTGTAGGGATGAGAGAGAGCCATATTGAAACCGTCCACTTTGGAGAGTTTCAATGACCGTATTGGCAGAGGCTGACTTCAAATTCAACTGACGCCACAATTGAGATTGCGTGTTTCAATCCAAGATACATGGCAGGTACTCCAAGGCCCAAAAATGTAAGAAAAAGGTGTGGTTGTATCGATTCTCAATATAATTGGTGGAAGATGTTCTCAGGATTAAACAGGCATCAGCAGTTCGCCAGTAGGCAGTACCGACGCTTCGCCGCCGCACAGCCACAAACAGTGGCACGTGGACTCAATATAATGAGAGGGTTACCCAAGCCCCTACGCAGGCAGGAACTCGCAACATCAGAATAACAAGGGAAACTTGTGGTCATTAAGGCCAGGAACGAGCGTGTAAGGATCATAGCTCCAGCAGATCACTACGAAGGCTATATTAGACTGAATCCCAGCTAACGGTTCATAATAGAATGCGACTAACTTAGTGTTCGAAGAAAGTGGACAGATTGCTCCTGAAGTTTGGATACACCGGCATAAGTATAACGGAGACATGCAATCAGTCCAGCGAAATAGAAAAGGAATACATCGAAACTGCGGACTTTATCTAAGCACAAATGGTCTCGAAATGTGCGCGCATTGTGATCATGATGGCGCGAGCCAGAAAACACCACTCGGGCTATCGTGCTAGAGAAAAAGGATGGAAAAAATGAACTACAGCCGCAGAGCGGCTATATATATATATGTATTATACACAAGCTGTGGTACAGATATTGTGCCATCGGAATCATGGCCCAATAGGAAAACAGTATGAATAATAAGAAAGAGCAACAACAACAAAACAAAAGCATTTTTGTTTAGTTTACCACTCACAGTTTTTGAAATTTTTTCAGTTTGTTTTTTTAAGAGGAGGAAGAAGGGACGCCGCAACACACCGATGCACACGTCCGCCATTGACATCGATCTTGAGCCATAACTTCCAAGGTCTTCAACCAGCAAGTATCCTCATCTCTCGGACCCCAACCAGGTAGTCGGCAACAACCGGCCGAGGCCAACTGTTTCGTCAGCTTTTCATGCGGCTTCTCCATGTTGTAGGCTGTCCACCAGACAGTCTCTTCCAGCCCTGTCCAGCAAGTGCAAACAACGCACGACGGGGGTAACGCTGGACAGGCATGCGCAATACGTGTCCCAACCACCGCAGTTGATGCAGTGAGACGAGCTCCTCGAGCGAGTGGCTTCCACGTCCCAAGACGCGCTGTCTAACTTCCACATTGCTTACGTGGTGCTGCCACCACACACGGGCAATGCACCGCAGACAGCAGTGCTCGAAGACGGATAGCCTGCGCAAGTCATCTTTACGAATCGTCCAGGTCTCGCATCCGTACAACAGTACAGCACGAACAGTTGCACAATAGACCCACCCTTTGATGGAGAGACGAATGTCGTGGCGACGCCACAAGTGCCTCAGCCTAGAAAAAGCGAGGTGTGCTCTCGAGATGCGCATCGAAATCTCGTCTAAAACAGCCCCGCCAACAGTGATGCAACTTCCAAAGTAGACAAAGCTCTCCACAACTAGTGTTTCACCACCAAGAGTGAGTGCAGGCAGAGGCACTTGCCAGTCTTGGAAGAGAGACTTGCGTTTGAATGGCGAAAAGTACATACCATACTTTGATGCGTCAAGCGCCAAGCGGTTTAGTGCAAGTTGGACGACATGTAGATCGTCAACCAGCAAGACGATATCATCAGCATAATCCAAATCAACTACTCGACTATCTGGGAGGAGTTCAACGCCAACGTTCAACGAATCGCCCAGAGGGTTCTTCACGACATCTTCAATGGCAAAGTTGAATAGGAACGGAGAGATAGGGCATCCTTGTCGAATTCCACTGGAGACCACAAAGGTAGGCGAAAGCTTGCCATAAGTCCTAACCCTACCCGAGGTCAGACTATATAGAGCGCGCAGTATGGAGACGAACTTCTCGGAGACACCATTCCTCAGTAGGCAGTGCCAAAGTACCGTACGATCGACGGAATTGAAGGCTGCACGGATATCCAGGAACATAGCAAGTGTTTGCCTCTGATACACATGGCGGAGCTCGAGGATCTGGCGGAGTGTGAAGATTTGATCGATGCAGCCGCGACCAGGGCGAAACCCAGCTTGTTCTTCTCGCTGCAACGATTAGTGCGTTGGGGATAGCCTGCGAAGTATGATGGACACCAGCAGCTTGCAAACGACGGGGACTAATGTTATGCCTCTGTAGTTGGAGCAGATTGTGCGCAAGCCCTTTTTGAAGATGGGAACGACTATCGATTCATTCCAAGATGATGGAACTTTCTCTTTCGACCAAATTTTCGAGAACAAAGCGGTGAGTTCTCGAACCAGCGAAGCGCCATCATCTTTAAATAGAGCTGGAGGAAGACCATCAGGGTCGGGAGCTTTATAGCGCTTCAGGTGCCGGAGCTCCTGCTCGAGTTCCTGGTAAGAGGGAGGATCTGTGGGGGTAGACCACTCGGTCCCAGCGCGAGCGCCAGACGTAGCACATGGAGCTGGGGGCCAACAAAACTGCGGGCCAAAAATCTTCGGCCCATCGCTCCAACCGTCGTTGAAGATTGGTGATTAAGGTGCCATCCTCTTCGCATATTGTTTCACTTATACCAGATCGAACACCTTCGGTGACTCGAATGAGATGGAAATCCCGGAGTACAAAAGCACCGCAAGTGGTCCAACCCGTTCGTCGATTGTTTCAGCTGTAAAATATTTGTCATTCGCTACTTCTGATGCGGGTGTATAGTTTACAATCTAACGCACATGTGTAGTTTGTTCAGCCGCGTCCGACCTCCGTTTTATCATTGTTTGGAGTCTAACATGTGTAGCAAAACATGCAATAACGTAGTCCGTTTATTCACTGGGAACTGGCAATGTTGCGTTCTAAACAACGGGTGAACAGCCACAGGGGATAATAACTTTGCAAAAGCTTGTAACCTGTTCTCGAGGAAGACTCTAGCAGGTGTATGTATGTATGTATGTTTATGAATCCTTAAAGTCTCAAGAAACCGGATTGCTCTGAGTACATTTTAGTCGCGACAGAAAAGCTACCAATGTGATCCAAAAATAGGCAGCACTCGAAAGAACAAGCATTTTGTAGGTCAGACATTCAACTACAGGATGGATTTGTTCTGTTTCAAATACTCTGTCCACGAACACATGCTGCGACAAAGAAGGCCAGATTTTGTCGTTACTTCTTTCTCATCCACAGAACCGTGTGGGTAATGCTGCCTAATAATCAACAGTTCGGTCCGTTACGCTCCGGAAGCGAACGGGTCGTGGGAAAAATAGATTATTACAATGCTCAGGATGAAATTTCGATGATTAGGATTACAGAAGACAGAACTGCAGATGGCAGCAAAACTGGCTGTGACAAGAGAAACAGCACGAGCGAAATTCCCGATACGCATCACGATCCATCAGATTGATGCGGCTACGCCTAGTTTAGACCAATGTATGAGGGCATAAAACATAATAGGAAACATACTTCTGTACGATTAGCAGGCATAAGTGCAAAGGCGAAATAGTAAAAGTATGCGCCATATATCAACTTTGTCGGTGCGCATCCAAGAATAGGCAGCAACAGCAACACACGAACAGGGTACAAGGAAATAGACTGAGGAAAGTTCGACATACCATAGTCACCTTGAGGAACGTCCGTTGTGGCCTGCTGATCATTAGCCGATGACAACCCGAGCCAATCAGCGGAGGTAACGCTAAGCATTCGATGGCGACGCATCAGGTGGTGCATGTCAGGCGCGTGTGCCAGGACGACCCAGCCGAATGACCGCTTAGCCAAACGTTTCACCTCCACCAATCTGTTTCGGGGGTAGCACATTTGTTTCAGTCTGTAAAGGGAGCAGATCAGTAAGCCGGGAAACAAGCGTTTAAAACTGGCGTTCACATATGGAAATGCGCGAGTAAAAATTTCACACTGCACATGATGAGTCAAAAACAGAGTCGAGACAATTTCTTTACAGTCACAAGCGAATTAGACAGAAAGAGACCAAAGACAAAGCTACAAATCTCAAGAACGTTAATTGTGTTCAGCCGATCAACCCTAGGAAACCGAGTTCATGTGGCAACCGAGTATAGCAAGAGGACAAGGATTGCAGTTCGAGTAGAGGGTAGCAGAAGCTGGACACAAGGCCGGTATCACATCTGGCCGTGGCAGGAGTCACCGTTCGGAAGAATTAACATCGCTAGTACGCAAACGCATACTGAGTAGCGAAAATGAATATTTTGGGCAAATAGCTCTGTGTGAGCGATACGCACAGGGTGTTCACAAATGCTTTAAGATGGCAAACACATTCAATGCGAAAGATAGCGACTAGCAGTCAAAACAATATAGTAAACTGCTTCTGAAGCGCTTTTACTAGTGTACACGGCTGCAAAAAGAAAACAGTTTCTGGGTGCGCACCAAATAAACTGCTCAAAAATGTCATCGTGGTTTGACCGCGAGTACAGAGGCAGTGCAGGTCTGTGGCGAAACACCTTACCAGAGCTGACTTGGGAAAGTTTCACACCTCTATTCCTGTTTAATCATGTGATCAGAATGACTATAAACGGCCTCATCCACTGAAGCGAAAATTCTGCCCTCTCCCACATGAAACATTAGGAGGGGACAATGGGGATCCGCACAGGCGCAACACGTAGCAGCATATAATCCGCGTCTTTAAAAAAAGAAGCAGAGTTGGGCTCACATCACATTAGTTCTGTAGAATACCGAACCTTAACTCAAAAGACCACACAAGTTGATTTCAGCGGTTGTAGGCAAGTCCTTATACCAATAAGGTAGATGTGGAGATTCAAATTGTTATTCAACAGCAGAAACGATAAGATATTTGTGTATCGGTTAACAGTAGGATGCAGTGAGATAATAAACAGACACTGCAGGAAGGAAGGTATTAAGAGAGGAACATGTTAGATAAAAGTTGAATATATACCCATATGCTGTTGTCTGCTGTTTTGTTTTGTATCTAATGAACCCGCTAGGGTCGTAATTGCCCTATTCGAGTCGGACGCGTTGGATCGCGCTTGGCATTTTTGTATGCCTTCTGACAAGCGCACTGAGGATGTACCTTGTCGTAAATGACATTGCGCAGGTGGAGCGCCTCAGACACATGCCGGAAAGCTATTGAGGGATAAAAAAATTAACCAAAAGGCGAATTTGTGTTGATGCACATCCGTCTCTTTTTAGTTTCCAAACAATCCTATGGATGGTTGAAACTAATGAGACGTGACCAAAGAGAACTGAAGCTGCCGTTTTTGTTGCCCGGAGCACAATTAGTAAACGTAACGAAGGCAGGGCCTACAAATTCGGTCGTTGCTGTTGCGATTGGAACACTGTTCTATGCTGCACTATTTCTATAATTTATTTGCCATTTGTTTTGGTGAAGCAATTTGGGGTCCACAATGTTGATTTACTCTGTAGATCGTTTGATTTAGCTCCGCGAAGTTGTCCGAAATTCGCATCTAGTCGAACACGACCATCAAAGCAGAAACACTTTCAAAAGAATTGGGGAAGAAAAAGCACGCGCTGGCTGACAAGCTGAACTCAGACACTGTCCTGCCAACAATGCATACATTCCGTTTATTCAGTCCACGAATATTGGATCGCTTCGCTGGAAAACCGGTGATCTCGACAGCCTTTCACAACGAACATAATTCTCGAACGCAGATAAAGTGATGTTACAAGAAAGCTCTCTACACCTCGAGATTGGAGATGAAGTCGTAAAATTCAATGATTTTCGGCACATGAGATCCGATCGCCCAGGAACACGTCTCACATAGCATCGCGGATGAGGTGTGGCTACTAACATCGGCGAAGACTGGTGTATATCGCTTGCACAGCTGTCTGCTTACTCAACAATTACAATATGTTACCACCAGTTGGAATGTAAATCAATGTCTCATAGTGGTTTCTATCGGCTGTAGTTGGGAACGTTTACGTAACGCCTAACGTAGCACAGTCAGATATGAAAATATTCGGAGATCACCTTGTCTCGGAATTGCAACCGAAGTTGGAATGCTCTCTCTTCAGCATCGTTGGCGCCTTCAATTGGAGTGACAGTCTTCATTAAAATTCTGGGTCTAACCAACTTAGTGGAATGCCCCACCAAACACAACGCACACATTTGGATTTAGTTGCTAGTAACAAATATAACCTGTTTTTCACACAAAGACGCGCCCCACTTGCTAAATCGGACTACTGCATTGTGAAATTAGGTAAGGCCAACTAGGTTGTGATGGCAAGAAGGCTATTCAGAGCTGTTAAGCGTCGAAACTGTTCAACGAGAAACACTGCTAAATTCAAAATGACGCCCTATTCAAGCGTCTTCTTAATCTTCACCAATGAGGATCTGTCAACTCAATGTGAGCACACCAGACTATATAAATATCCGTTTCGATTTTTACTGCTTCACTGAGGACATATATTTTCGGATTGATATATTTTTATCTCCCCGCGCGTAGAAAAACGAACAGGCCAATGAGTACATATTAATGACCTGTGTCAAATGTCTGTCTGTGGCTACAAAAGCCGAGATAAAAGGTTATTCAGTCGACTCATTGAAGCTGTTGCAGGGAACCACAGTTGTCATGACCTCTGGAAGCAGCTCGCTGGCAAAATTTTCAGTAGCCCACTCGGTATTGTGAATGTGGAAAGCTCAGCCCAGAGTTAAACTCATCAACAAACAAGTTCCCCTTAAATTCCTCCCTTTTTACTGACCCTCCCACCTTATTTGATCACATCAGTGTTTACAAGGAACTCAAAAAAACGGAAGCCAAACAAGACTAGTGGTCCTGATTCCCTGTCCCCAGTAGCTTTGAAAGAGTGTACGGATGCTCTCCCGCGTATTGTCCCATCACCCGGGGCGAGGTAGAAAAGCTTGAGCGAGTGTAGCATGTAGCCACCAGGCTGATTCCCAACTTACGAGGTGTGCCGGACGAAGACCAGTGTAAGAAACTAGGGCCTGTACACCCTAGCTTATCGTCGACTGAGGGTTGACCTCATCATGACTCACCGGATATTACATCTGGGTGATTACCCTATGTTGAGACCACTGCTTCATCTGCGCACACCAAGCTGCACGCGAGGACACCGGTATAAAGTTATCGTACCGAAGTTGAAGCGGTTCGCTCACCAACTATGTTTCGAACGCAGAGTGGTGAATATATGGAACGACCTGCCGCAGCACATAGTAGAGGCGAACTCAGTGTCGGAATTTAAGAAGCTCCTTGACAAACACTTTGCAGACGCAAAATATACAGAGCGGAACAGAACATAACGAGTATATGTCCAAGAGCGACGAATGATGCAGCTACACAGAGAAAGCTCTACTCGCTGCTTCGAACCAGTATTCAGTCACTACGGCCAGAGATGTTCAACCGATGTCTAACGACTGGAACTATCTCCAACATCTGCAAACCAGTCAAAATGACACCTGTGTTTAAGTAGGAAGCACAGAAGTACTGGCCGATAGCATGCACCTCCATGCTGCTGAAAGTGTTTGAAAGAATACTAACTCACCGCACTTTCACAAGCAATCATAAAGATGTTATCAAGTAGTTTGTATACAAGCCGGAACGCTCTGCATTGAAAGCTTTTCCGTACTTTATGCATTCCATTGCATCTGTTGTGGATAAAAGAAATTCAACACTGTACGGCTGCTGTTCCTTGATTACACTGATGCGTTTTGGACAGATCGTTACAACTGAATCTTTTGTTCGAGAACAGCTTTCTCCCATATGCATATAATGTAATGAGTGACAACTTTACAAATTCATTATTCATTGTGCACGTTAGCTAAAGGTGGAACACACCTCAACTACTGTGCCGCAACACATAAAAAATGTGACAGATGTATGCCAGCTTAGCTACCAGTGACGGAAGGGCGGAGTTCTGGAAAGCTACCAGCCGGGAACTATGCAACAACAAAAAATATTATGTAAAATTGCATTATGCTACGAAATGAGGTCGTGGTTGGAGGGGAGGCTAAGAGGGATGAGGAGGGACAAAGAAACTCATAGCACGTACGCCATTGTGGTCGGCTCCTAGCCATGTCAGCAGGTGTATCCTTAATGAAGGTTTCACAGTATCGCGTGGGAGGATACTGTCAGCTTGCGCAGGCCTAAACAGGAAAACGATTAGGGTTCACAACCAAAAGCTTTGGTTAAAAATTCTGACCGCAAGGCAGCGGGTTTGGCGGTGAGCCACAAGGAGTCCGTTTTAAGGAATAAGAAACCACCCTCATTCCAATTCACAACCTGAAGGACCAGGAGGCTGAGTTTGTCTGGCGTCTAACCATTGACCAAGCTGGTATACGTGGCTCTGAAGGTGCGAAAAAGCTCAATAGATCTCTGAGGCACGCAAACCACTTTACAAATTGCACGTACTGGACGCAGTTGTGTGGTAGAGAGTCGTATACAATCCAAACAAATTGTGGGGTCTTGCAGGGGTCTATTTCATCCTCCACTCTGATTTCCTTCTATTTTGAATGCGCGTCTATACCAAACAGTTTCATCGGATGTCAATATGCTGACGACGTCTTCCTAGAGTGCATAACCCCAGTAACTGAGGAATCTTCGAAACTTCAACGAGGATTAGACGAACACTTGAATAGGTCAAGCTCCAAGTCCCTCTTGCTTAACCCAAGTGTTTCAATGTGACAGTTACTTTTCTTCACCCCAACAGACTATGTTCTTTTTTAGACAGGTCTCATTCTTTGATCGTAAGTGACCAAAAGCATCGCTCGTTTATATTTTGAAAACTGTCTCGATGCCTTCGGCATATCCTGACTGGCACATATTACTCAAACATTACAAAAAATCAGAAGATTAGCTTTCT